ATTCATATTTCCCCATGAGCTGATTCGCTACAATATTAAATAGCAAAGTTCCTTCAAAGTTGTTTTTTTTCACAATAAACAATGTTGTAATTTATACTGCATATACTGAAGACAAAGCACTGTATATATAGACAGAAAGCGAGCAAGAGGAAGAGCAACACAAAGAAGAGGTTTTTATGTATGTGTATATATGACTGTTTTGACAGAATCAACACTTCAAAGAGGAGCATCACAGTCATCCCAAGGTCAGTTCAAAGCAAATAAAAGGCACACACGGCAGTGTGAAGATATGTGCATGCGACTACAGCATACTACATTAAACATACACAAGCCACAGAGTCAACACTCAACCCAGGGTTTAGCTTTAGAAGACAAACCCCCGCGAATGTCAATAGATGACTTGAAAACAGCAGTCTGCACCAGATAGCTCTGCATTTGCGGCGCTAGATGTGCCTGATTGTGAATACAGATCTAAGACGTGCTCTTTAAAATTATCGATCAGAACGCCATTAGAAGAGCCCTTAAAGGCTTTGCTTTGCATATCTCTCTTATTATTTTGTTATTATAACCTCGTTTTAAAAATAATATTAGGTGGTATTCAATCTCATCCTGAATCCCGGATGGTTTCATAACATTTGCGAATTCTTTGTTAGCCTTTTGCTTGGTTTAAAACAGCCATTGCTTGCATAATTATCCTGGCTGTTTTAATGAGTTTTCCACTGGCTTGAAGCGGTAATTGGATTTTTCTTGGAGCAATCTTGTTAAATGCATAAAATCGTATATTTAATTTAGAGAGGAAATCGATGGCGAAGTGAGTGTCGTTGGCAGCGCTCGTGCTGTTGTGGACATACAACGAGCGCCGCTGAGGAGGAGGAGGCAATATATTAACACGCACACTAACATCTCGTTACTGTAATGAAAGCTGTAAATCCAAAGCGTGAGCTTTATAAGTGTTTCATGGGAACCGTATAAGCAAGAATCGGGTATTCTGTTGTGTTAGGGAGACTTTATTAATGTTGTTAATTTTCTAAATGGACCGCAATTTTTCACGGAAAGCCTGAAGCCGTCATATTTTAGTCAAACAAGAACGGACATTTCCAATCAAGATTGCTGAGCTCTGTCTCTGACATTTATGTCTGTCAAACTGATTTAAAATCTGTGAGGGCAGTGAAAGCGCGGGCCCGAGTCTCCGATACCTGTACATGACTTTCTTCCAAAAAAAAAAAATGCTGTAGGCTACATATTCTGACAGTATGCAGACACTGCTATGGTTCATGGCTGCCATAGCTAAAGCCCATAGAGTGCAGCAGTCAGGTTCTAGAAGTAAAAATCCCATTTATTTTATCAATAGGGGAATTGATTTTGAAAGTTAACTTGTAAATCATTAACAACAGACCTACTGTGAGCTACAAGATGGTTAATCGATGGTATAGTCTCTTGTTGAAACCATCAGTCCACATTATTTCAACTTATTTTTTAAATAGTCATATTCAACAGAGAAATTCCTGGTGAAATACTACATTACCCAAGAAATCTCCATTAATCAGACAACTGCAAAAAAGAAATAACACCATAAGAACACACCCACAAGCACTGCAAATGATGCAGTGTAAATGATGTTCCCCACACTCTTAAAATACATGCTTATTTTACAATAAACATAAAATATATTGTTTCTATATATGATCAGCATGTTCAGTAGTTTTATTTATCCATTGTTTTTAATTTGATTTTGTCATTCACAGCGTTTATTGGGGTTGTAATATTTCCTTCCCTCATCAAAACCACCATTAAGGACAGACTTGTCTTTTTGTTCAATTTCAAATACTTTTTTTTTTTTTTTTTTTGCTTCAAATCAAAGTTTGCAATGTTGTGATTAACTTTGTAGCTGTTTTTAGTTCATGTCCTATAACTCTTAAACACTTTTTTTTTTAAATCCCTATGGGAAATCCCTCACTCAAACCCCTAAAATCCCTCACTCAAACTTCCCGTTTCATATGAAAAACATCACTGTGCTCGTCAAAGCAATTTAATGGTGCCATTTCAAAACTACTTGTTAAATCATGCTAATCAACTGAGGAGAAAGTAAGGACTACTTCTGTGGTGTTAAACTAATTTTATAAGTCATATTAATTCCAAGTAATCAGCCACTGGACTGGAGTTATCATTATCACACTTTTAAATCACTCAGCAACTGAGCAGCTGAAATGACCTCGTGCTGTACTCTCATTGAAACAATATGAATTATTTTATAAAAAATTATACATACAAATGGAAGAGGTTTCCTTTACAAACATGAGCATGTCCCTCTGTACACCGTCTTTGAGAAGAAGCTGTTGAGTATCAGGGCATTGATTGTCTGCCACAATAAAGATAAGCCTTCTCCTCTGTTCCGACAGGACAGACCACTTAGACATCCAGGCATTCACTCTCAGCCTGACACTGAGTTGACATTACTTAATGAAAAAAAATATATGAAGCCATTAAGAAAAGACATAACTCAATGTGAAGTAAATAAAAAAGAAACAGGACAGGATAAGCACGCTTTCTATTCAGAGCTGTTCTTATAATTATTCTGAATAAATTATGAATGTCTGCTTGAGATCTCGAAACAGCGAATTAATGATTTTTCTTTTTAGTATGTTTTATTAAGCTCCATTGCGTTCACCAGCCACTTGTAACAAGCCCAACATTCCTCTCATGTGCCTTATGAGATCATTTCCAAATAATGACCATAATCCCAAATTCAAACAGCGATCAGTTCGGAAAAGTAAACAGAATCAAACTCATGAAAAGAAAAAGGCGACATTGATTTTCAGTCCCTTTGATATATGTGTTATAGAGTCTCATGTCTGTAAAGAGAACAATGATGGGGTGACCCTATCCTCCTTTGTTTGCATTATCTGCTCGCTGCAGTGACTTGCTTAATTAAAACTGTATTTATTATTACTTAGTGCCAAGTCAAACGAGATTTCAATTGCCCTTTTAGTTTTCATTTAGCGAGCCAGTTAACAAATAATTGCATTTGCTTTCTGATAGCAGCTTCCCTCTAATGATCACAGACAGTATTCTCAGTCTTTATTACCCTTAGTCAGATAATCTAACAAAATGACAAGTTATCGCTTGCATTGAAAGCCAAATCCATTATTGACGGCATACAATGATCACTTTATAATCATCCGGACTGGACAAAAGACAATATATCCTATTGAATTCAAATAAAATTTATATCTCTGGCTTTGACAGGCACAACAACAGTTGATACTGAGCATGTGAACAAAGTGACAAATTGAAAGCGTGTATTGTTTGGACACTGAGATTCAATCTCCAAATGCTTATGCCATCTGAAAAACAGTTTACAGTATCTATCCGAATGCCAGAATTTGTTGGGGAAGAAACAAAAATGGAACATGTTTCATGACTCAGACAAGATCACAGCTATCTCACACTGCGATCGCGGAGGCCAGGCTGCAACAGGCATTCGTGGAAAAACTGCCATCTTAACAAGTCAAGCTGTGTTAGAGTCCGACAGCGAGACTAGGCTCAGTTTGAACGCACTCGTTGGAGGGATCTAACTAGCCTGGGCGAGACAATTTATAGGCTAAGCTTCGTGTCCGACCGTGTCGTCGCACACCCAGTCTTCCTGCTCTTAGACGTGCGATCGTATTTCTGGATGTATGCTTGCGTTCACTAACTGAATCATCAATCTCCTCTGAGGCTAATTTAGCCGAGGCCTTTTAAATGCTCTGACAAGCCTTGTGTCATTCATCAAACTCAAGGCTCCGTTGGCTCTCTCGTCTAGCCTTGATTACACATCATGTCTGTGTGCAAACCACCCTGTTCCACAAACAAAAGCAGCCAATTTAGCAGTGAGATCTCCACATCAAAATATGCACCACCGTCTGGCTGTCCGAATGAATGAATGAATGAATGAATGAATGAACGCAGTCATGAGGAAATGGCCACACCGTGTGCTGCAATTTGTGTACTTTATTACAAAAATCTGTACAAAATGTCTTCCCAGCTTTAGGACTGAGCATGTGTTACTGTCATTTCATATAGTTACAATTCGAAATCATGAAAATAACCTGTCGGAGAACAGCTAAACATTGAATATACTGTAGTAGTAGTAAGGTCTGTGTTGTCCGTATGTTATACACCATTTCACACGTCGCCAGATATTATTTAGGATAATGTCTTTACATTCTTTTTTCCCTTCAGTTTGCGACTCATATCGACAACAGGCCTGCTTTAAAACAAACAGCTCTCACAAGATATTCAGCAAGAACCACTGCGGAAAAAAAACTGTACACGAGACAGCATAGAGCACTACAAAAACATTTCGGCGCTTTGAGTTTCTCCACTGAGACTGAGGTTTTCGAGAAAGGAATAGGCTTAATACAAAAGACTCCCCTTCAAACGCTCGCTGTCATAAGGGTTCTCTCTACAAACTTACAAAATAACATCTCAAAATAACTCAGGTTGACAGCCTCAACTGAAAGGCAAGTACTATACATTTTCAATGATTAAATCCACTCCGGCCTGTCCTGCTCGATACATCAAAGTCTATTCGCTACAAGTTTGACTTGTATTTTGGTCGGCGTAACTGCAGGATACTTCAGAGGTTGTGATAGCGATGCGTCTTGAGCCAAATTTTGGCGTGGAACTAAGGCCTGATAACAGACGTGAAGCTATGGGTAAAGGATATTTTACAAAGCTACAGTTGCGGTTCCTTGCTAGGCAATGCGTTTGGAAAGGATAGCGGTTGTTGAATTCATATTGATTTTTTTCGAAGAACCTATGAGTCATAGAAACATCTGATAGAACAGAAACATTGATCTTTCGAGCATCGCTGCTGTATGGCTAGCTGGATGGCACTGTTCTCATTTATAACCATGGGGAGAGCACTTCAAATGTCTCTTCGAAACAATTGGTATTCCTGGACCAGCTCACATGGACCTGCGGTCCACTGTCCATTATTCTCTTGGGCCTGAAGATTACTCTTTGGGAGCTTGCAACCACACCCCGAGTCCAGTCTTGACATCTAACTGCAATTTAAATAGAAGTGCTTCCGACTCGAATCCCCACCGTCAATTGGCTATCAAAACTGCTGCTCTCTGCAGATATAACTCCCCACTCCGTACTGAATGTTCCCCTTTTTTGCTCCCCTCTTCTGTCAAGCATCGATGAGTCAGTGGTATTCTCTTGATCATTGTTCATTTCCATTATGCCCTTGATTGAGCAGACCTTGGCAGGAATTTTAATCCCGGCTAGGAGGAGAATATATTGCTGCTGTCGCCGTGGCCGTACAGGTCGGCTAGCTTCCTGAAGCGAGGTCCCCAGTCGCTCAGATAGTCATAGTTCTGCTCTGAGTCTGAGCTCAGGGAGTCTAGGGAGCTGAGGGATTCGGCCACTGAGCCGCTGCCCTCGAAAGCGTATGTCTGCAGGGAGTCGTAGGGAGGTGCAGAAGGATCGACGTCGGCGTCCTTCAGGCGGTCCCATATAAACTCCCGGAAGATCCCGTTGTCTGGGGTGATTTTGTAAGGTGGAGGGCGGGAGCAATAAAGGGTGGGCACCTCCGGGGTGACGTCTCGGCGGGCTTTGCTGTCTCTCACTACATTGAGGTTTCGCAAGGCCACCATGTCAAAGGCCTCTGTGTCTTCCTCGCCTCCACCTTCGTCGTCGTAGCGCACAATGTTCTCCCGCACGTCCCGGTCTTCGTCCAAGATCAGAGGCTCCTTCTTCCTCCTCCTCATTGTCACAATCAGCAGCACCAGCACTGCAAAGACAAAAGAATCACATGCTGTTAGTAAGCAAACCAGAGCTATCATCAGTGACACGACATATTAGCATTACAATACTGTTCAAATGTTTTTCGTTTAAAGAAATTAATACTTGTATTAAGCAAGGATACATTAAATTTGTCAAAAGTGATAAAGTCATTTATAATGTTAGAAAAGATTTGTATTTCAAATAAAAATGCTGTTCCTTCAAACTTTCTGTTCATCAAACTCTCTTGGAAATAAATATCATGATTTCCACAAGAATATTAACCAGTGCAGCAGTTTTCAACACTGATAATAATAAGAAATGTTTCTTGAACACTAAATCAGCATATTACTATGATTTCTGCTGAAAAACTATATGCAAAATTTACATATGTTCATATACATATATTTTATGTCAGAAATATATCTTATTATATATTAATATATCAACATTGAAAACAGCTAATTTAACTTGTAATAATATTTCATAATGCAGCCTTTCTGAGAAGAAAGCAGACCCCAAACATTTGAACGGCAATGTACATATTACATTACATATGCATAGCCTACTATTTACTGTATACTCTTTTTTATAATAGTATATATAGTAAAATAGTGTGTGTGTGTGTGTGTACCTGTTTTTCTATTCTGGTGGGGACTTAAACCTGAATACACACAGACTCATGGGGACTCGTGTCACGTTGGGGACCTAAATTGAGGTCCCCACGGGTAAACAAGCTAATAAATCACACAGGATGGATTTTTTTGAAAATCTAAAAATTCAGAAAGTCTCCTGTGAGGGGTAGGTTTAGGTGTAGGGTTGGTGTAGGGCAGTGGTCACCAACCCGTCGATCGCGATTGACTGGTATATCATCTGGTATATTTATCACTGTCCCAGTAGATCCCGAAAATAACATTTCTGGGGCTATATTAATGTATCACTGAAGGGAACTGTCTTGAGAAAAGTTTCGATGGCAATGGCATTTTCTTCTCCGTATAAAGCGCGGCTCTGCTTTGTTTACAGAGGTAACCAAGGAGACGCTATTGCGGTCGGTACATAAGCAGTGTTGCCAAGTCCGCGGTTTTCCCGCGGAATTGGGCTAACGTTACTTTAACACTGTTGCCGCGGTTTGTTGTTCATGTCCGCGGGTTGAAGCGACCCCAATAACGTGATATTTAGCCCCTGGAATGCGAATTTTACTGGAAGATCCCCGCCGAAAAACGTGTATTTCACCTCGACCCCCTCGAAACGCAATTGGACTAGTTTTATTGCGAAAACCTGACAACCCTGTTCATAAGCGCCACCTCCTGTCAGAGAGTGCGTCTCATTCAGACCTGCTGTTGTTTCGCGCAGATGTTTTATGTAGCAAATCTGGTGTAGGGCAATAGAAAATACGGTCTGTACAGTAGAAAAACCATTACGCCTATGGAGAGTCCCCAAAAGGATAGCAAACCAGACGTGTGTGTGTGTGTGTGTGTGTACCGTTATATTATATAATTTATAATAACATAGTCTTATGTAATATAATAACACGCATATGGTTTATTGCCTATAGTACAATTACTAATAGTATAAATAGTTTGTTTTTATTATTACTATTATATAAATTGATATAGTTACAAACTGTAACAGTCTTATTTTTTTTTAAAGTTGTAAATAAAACAAAGATTGTTTTATTGGTATTTCCAAATAGTACTTTACGAGAAAATATTATTTCAGTTTTGCTTCAAAATTTCATGTTTTATTCATATGTTACTTGCCTATTTATTTTACTCTTTATTTATTTATTTATTTATTTTTATTTTTAATAATAGAGATAGTAAGAGTGGATACTGGATGGATAAACTGGTATGTGGAATTACAAATCAGATTTGAACTTGTGTCACTGAGAAAAAAAAAGAAAGAAAGAATTCAAGGCCACTTCTCTGACAGTGCATTTGTTCCTAGTTCTGTTGGTTTCCACCAGACTATTGGGGTGAAAATAGCTGCACAGTGCTGTTTACACCTCGTGCAAATAGTCATTACGATTAAACAATGTGCTAACAATACAAACAAAAAACCCTTTTATATGTGAGTAGAGTGTTTAATAAATTGCTTCATTACAGATTCATGCCCTTTCCACCGTAAACAACAATTCTATGAAATATCAGACACCAGGTAAGATTTAAAGGCACCAAAGCTTTAAAACACACACACACACACACACACACACAACCACACACCTTTCAAACAGTCCATTTACCCTCCATTCAAGATAAGCAAAGACATAAAAGGTGTAGAATCAGATAGCACTCGACCATGACTGTATCTCAACAATATTTATGACACCGAACCAAAATATTACTTTCTCATTGTTTTACACTCTATAGAACGATCGTGCCTCAAGGCCTGCCACTTTAAGCTACAACATGAGAGATAAGCTGAATTATCTCTACAGTTCAATTAGGGCAGATCTGGTACATTAGTTTTATCAATAAGTTCATCGGATTGGGTTGTAGTGATTTTAATAATGCTGCTGACAAATCTCGAGCAGGAGGTGTTTCATCATGGGAGGTGCTCCTGGGAGCGGGAGGTGTTAAAGGAGTTACAGTCTGATCTAATCTCATCCTGCATGTTTGTTTACAACGGTTATTAACTGTACAGACCCTTATCCGCGCACAAAACACATGCACGGCTGGGAATTAAACGCACGCTAGCACTTTTGTCTTCTCAGTTTTAGCTCTGTCATGTGTGAACATAAGCAAACAGACAGAGATGAACACATAGATGCACGGAGAGCGAGATTTAGAGAAGGATGTGCGCTGTAAATATGGGGCTTTAATGACCACTTGCTTCCTTCCCGCTCATACACAAGCTGCTTATTCGGAAAAGGCCAGCATTAAATCCTTTTAATGAGTGCGGCATATGCCTACTGTACGTGTAAAATAAGACTGGATTATATCTCAGTCAGAAAATATCACCCTGCCCTGAAAGCACAGACCCCGTATACAAGCACATCAAAACTATCAACAAGAGGCAAGGCTGCACCGCCGCACAAAAGACGTGTGTCTCGGCGATTCAAACCGGGGATCAAATAATGCAAAGAAAAAGATGGCGTGAAAGAGATGGAGAAATTCTATTAATACAGAAAAAAGAAAAGGGGAAGCACATAGTGAGAAATGACTAACATAACAAGACACATGCACAAAAAAAGTGAAATAAATAAATTTTTTGTAGTGTGTGGAATGCAAAAACCAATCCTCCGTGTTGCCGCTCTCAGACCCATGAATGCGAGGGATCTTACAGTACAGACACAACACAGTCCTCCCACGGGAGTCTATATCTCTCTCTCTCAATGTAGATAGCACATACAGTATGTGTATTTGGCTGCCAATACCGAGCTCGAGGGGGAGGGAAGGGAGCAGATAAAGTAGGGAGAGAGAAAGAGGAGGTGTAAGTGGGAGCAGGCTGAAGTGAGAGCGAGAAAGATAGAGTGGAGGGAAAAGGGAGGCAAACGTCTAATGATCCATCCTTCAGGCCTGCCGCAGCGAGTGTGAAATATGGTGCCAAAGTCTCATACTTCATCCTCAGGCCTAGTGTCGTTCTGCAGGGGCAGACAAGCTGGGCGAGTGGGCTGGCGAGGCAGCGGCTGCACGTGTGCAGTCATAATCACAGTACACACATACACACACACACACACACACACACACACAGGGGATGATATAAACAAAAGCAAAGCCAATATCGACCTTAAATTCAAGAGCAACAGTCTTACCAGGAGGAAACAAAGAAAACGCTATAAAACTAAAGATAAAGAAACAGAACAATGAAAAATCTGTCATGTCTTTTCTTCTTCTTCTGTGGAACACAAAAGGATATTTTATGCAGAATGTCCAAACTGCTCTTTGACATACAATGAAAGTGAAGGGTGACCATGACTTCAAGGCAAGATTTTCAGCAAATAAAAACTACATTTTAGTCTTCTCCTCACATACAGCTATTGTATAGGCAGTGTACAGAAAAACAAGTCACTTGAAATACTTTTATGGTGAATTTTTGTCTTTTTTGAAGCTTGACAGCCTTTAACTGAAGTAGTTTCATGGATGTTAAAAGTTCTTCATAGAACCATAAATGCCGTAAAGAACTTTCATATTTAAGAGTGTATGCTGTATACCAAATACAGACAATTCTGTATGAAATGACAATAGCAGAGAAATCTTGAAAATATAAAACAAAGAGTTTGTACCAAAGTTTGAGACATGGCTATCGGTTCAGTTGTGTTGAATAAATTAGGTATGAAATTTCTGGGATTTTTCCAGATCTGGGAATCGTTTTTTAGAAATCTTGAATGTGATCATTGGTTTCAGTAAAAAAGCTCAGGTTACTTTGGATATGATTTCTAGGGTATAACATAGAATATAAAACATGATGTGCAGTAATGAATACACTTTTCATAACTGGGTAATCTGCTATAATCTACTTGGTACTGAAACTTTGTATTACATTTTAGAATTTTTTTGATATATTATTTGTGTAAGTATTATCGTTTGTTTGTTTGCTTTGTAAAATGTGAAATGCTTTAAACAAAATATTCAATCTTATAAATAGCAGCTTGAGCATTATGCAAAAAATATCTTTTGCATTCCACAAACGAAAGAAAGTCATACGAGTTCGGAACAACACGGTGGTGAGTAAATCATGACAATTGGCATTTTTGGGTGAACGATCCATGAATAATGTACACATGCATATCCTATATTTATGCAGTTGTGTTTTCAATATTTTCTAGGACAAAAACAAAAAAACATTTATCTTTTAAACTTCAAAGCAACTCAGTTTAAAGCAAAAACTTCTATTTTGCTGAAATCTAATTCTTTGCAAACCCTTGTTTATTTTAAGCAACCTTATTTACTCCTAGAAGGTTCATATTAGTACCTTTGAGTAGTAATACTACTATGAACCTTTTAGGGGTTAATAACATACGAAAAAGTCTCTTTAAGTGCACTGCTCCAGTGACGAGCTGTTGTATCC